AACCATACAATTTTTGTTCAAAACGTTTTTCTCTAAAATGCTTAGTTTTTGAAAGAAAAGGGGTGTACGGGTGGTTTAGGACACCCTGTATACAATACATATATGTATATGTTGTAATATACATTAATGGTTTTCACTATTTTCTATATCTTTTTTTTTTATTTAGTTTTGGTCATATTTTCTTTTATAAAAGAGTAAAAGAATGTATTATTATAAAGTATAGAGTTACAGTTCTATTAATTGATAATTTATTTTTACATATAATACATAATTTTATTTTTTAAATATTCGGTATATACCATTATTTTAATACATTATATATATATATATATATATATATATATATATATATCGGTGTCTCTATATACATTATACTTATAATGTCAATAACGCAAAGCATATATTTTTCCTGTAAAATCCCAATTATATAATTTTGGCGATACCAGTCCGTTTTCTTATTTCTCAGAAATCACAATTAAAACTGAATCTGATCCGAATCTAACAAAATCAATTTCGAGTTTTAATTTTCTGGATGCAAGCTTTATTTTGGTCGGTTCGAAAAAAAAAAACATTGAAGCAACGAGGACAGTGAGTTGAAATCTCGAAGAAAAGTGGAAGTCGTTCGCTTTGTTCTCGTACGCGACTGATGGACATTATCGCGAATGATCGAATTTATTCCCGCCTTTCCCATTGTGCCGCGGATGGGTGGCGCACTGGTATATACGTGGAGAAAGGCTGACAATGAGACAAACAAAAGTATCAAACAAACCGATTTCGGAGAGAGAGAGAGAGAGAAAGAGATAAACGCGGGCCGCTGCGATAAGGATAAATCAGAGCTTACTTGAGTTATTGAGCACAGTGGAAAGACCGGAGAGAATGTTTTCATCTATATCTGGAGATATAAAAAGTCTTTCTTTCTATTTCAGGACATATATAAGAGCTGAGTCTAATTATAAATTAGTTTATATATCTTTATACTTTATACTTTCATATCTTTATTACTTTATATTTTTTATATATTATTGAAATTTGAAATATATGAAAAGCGAATTTTAATTCAAGCTCACAAATATTACAAAAAAGTCTTTATTTTAAAATTACATTGTATAATGGTATAATGTAATGTATAATGTATTATTTTAGGGCAAAACTTCTTTTAATAGATGATGAATGATATTTTATCCAAGATCTGCATTAAAGTCTTTAAAATTCACAAAATTAATCTAGAAGTCACATTAATTCGGATCCTAGGGAAACGAAATTAGTGAGATAAAATTTCTCCAAGAGTGGATAAAATTATGAATTGAGTGATAACTAATTTATGGGAGTCGCTCGTTATCATTCGTATAAAAGTGATGATGATATGTCGTAAGGAAATCCAATGTCGAAAGTAAAGAATTGATAGCTTCTTTTCACGTTATTCTCGGTTATCCGATCGATAAACCGATGTCCACTTTTTTTGCATTTGTCGAACACAGAGATGAAACCTGAATCTCAAATTAGAAACCTCGCACCGTCGCATGTTGACGCATCGAATCATAAAAGTTTGATGCTACGAATTTCCAATACGCGTCATCTATTACTTTCAATTAAGATGCAACAATAAATTTTTGCACTATTTTGTTCCACGTCTTTAAAGTTTAAATAAACTAACAGATAAGTATTAAAAAGTAACTATTAATCAAATAGGACAAAATATTATTTAAGTTATTATATTGAGTTACACATTATTATTTAATTTAAAAATAACCTAATTAACTTAAATATATGTATCTAGATCCGTTCTTAACTATAACATTGATACGCACAAGAGTTTAATTTTACACTTTAACATATTTTACAAGTTTATACATATACTTCATTGGATGCAAATGGCGTTATGATTATTATTATTATTATTATTATTATTATTATTATTATTATTATTATTATTATTATTATTATTATTATTATTATTTGTGTCAAGTATTCCTTAGCAAAAATGTTATGTTCTTTTAAATTTCTTTGTCGTTTAACTTAGCACAACCATTTCATGAGATTAAACAAAACAGTATAATTATCTAACGACAAAGATTGGCTGTGTATAATAATTAACTAAATATAACAACATTCCCCACACACAACACACACACACACACACATACATATATATATATACACACACACACACACACACACACACACACACACACATAAAGAATATTATTGTATCGCGTGCAGTACAGGCGCACATGTATGCTGATTACACATGTTTAGACATCATATGATTAGTCTCTTCCACCACGTAATCCTGAATTGGAATAATTTACTTTATTGCCATACTATAAGTATATTGTTAGAAATTCTTGCGAGGTTTATTTGTAACAGATATATATGTTTATTTTTTTATTGATCTAAAATTGAAGAAAGCGAGAGATAGAGTTACAACAAATAAAATTCATATACGATGATTTTCGCCATCGTGTACATTTTATACCTTTATATTATTTATATAATTAAAATATTGTTGTGCACACCACACGACAGAGATAGCGTTATCATTTTATGTTAAAAAAAGGCTAATACAAAAAACTCGATAGAAAAATTACTCATGTTCGCTCGTTCTCTATAATAAATGTAACATTGCTGGCCAGCGAGCTGTCGCTCAGTTGAATAGAATTCATCTTCTCGGCTATGAATGATACCTTATTGACATTTTCATTCAAATTCGGCATTTCTACGACGTAAGTTCCGGCGCTGTCCGGAGAACTTAGCTCGAGCGTATTCGTTTTTTCGAGAGAAGCTGAAATCGTTTTGCGGGAATCAGAGCAAATTTGGCGACTCGCCGAGTCGGACCGTGCGTTCTTATTGTTCTCGTTAGGATCACTCTGGTGATACCTAATGGAATTTGCAGCGCAGTCTTCAAGGAGTATGTCTCCTTTAGGAACGATGTCGCTGGACGTACTAGTATTTGATCGGATCCAGGAACGGCGACGCTCATTTATCCGGCTGGAAATCCGTTCGCCTTCATCCTCAAAGAACATTGAACTCTTGGACAGCATCGAGTCGATCTTTTCGATAATACAATGTAAGCGATTCCGGCTCTTCTCCCTCCAACATCGTTCCATTTCTTTCAAGCGGCGGAGCGTCATCCACGATCGCTCGCAATCGTCGTTCTCGATCTGGATCATTGTGTGATCATTAGCGGGACGACAAGAAGACGAGAAGATCTCTTTCCTCACTGTCGTACCGCCACTGGATTTGCCCTGCTGGGACAAAGGATACTCCAAGACGTTCATGATCACTTCATTATCACAAACTCGCGACATATCCTCCGGTTCCTCCGTAAAAAGATTTAATCCAACATCGCTACCGTTCGCGTTCTTATTGAACCTCAAGACGCGGACTGACGTCGGATTGCCGAATATTGAGAATGCCAATACATGGTCGTAGGGATGATAATCTACGCAAGTAATGACCGCTCTGGACGAACTACGCCCGTCCGCATATTTGGCCACATGCTTACCCGTCTCCAAGTTCCAGATATTTAGTACGGAATCCTCTCCGCCACACAAGATCAAACCTCCGCAGGGAGATATGCAGGCTCTCAATTGTATCCTATGAATAAGAAAAATGAGGAATTCAATAGATTGAATTAATAAATAATGCGATAAAGAATCTCTCTCTCTCTCTCTCTCTCTGAGGACTCTGAGAGAGATTTGAAGGGAAAATGAGAATCATGTTAGAGCAAACTATGAAGATGAAGGTGAGTTGATTGGAAGAAACCAAGAGGAATACGGGAAAAAATGTTTAAGATGGATGATAAATCTGTAAAATATCAAGAACGGAGAGAGACATTCTTTTGGAGAATATACCTTTGATTGTTCAGCTGTTTGTATTTCTGCAAGATCACGCCGGTCGCGAGATCCATCATTCGCAGGCCATTGTCCCTCGAGTGCACGAGAAGTCTAGACTCAAGGGGATGCAGAACGATCGTATTGATGACAACCCCCTCAATCTCGCGAATCTTTATCCTCCTCGCGACACACCATTCCCATCTCGATGACATCCTACCATTTCGGCGAACCGTCCAAAGGATTATCGATCCTACGCTGTCGGCCGTGATCAAGTTACCATTTTTTTGAAAGATCATGGAGCTGACGAAACCCTCGTGGCCCTCCAACTCCTGGTTCAACTCTCGCTTCGTTGATATTCCGTTCTCGTTTGCCCAGATGCGAACTACTCCATCGTAACATCCTGTTGCTACAATCGTCATTTTGCCGGGAGCGTACCTGGCGCAATAAACATACGAAGGATGCGGCAGCATCTGCAATAAATTGAACAGCCAAGTAAAATCAATTGTCAATTTTATCCGTTTTATAGTCTATATAAGTATAGTGTAAATTCTCTCTATATACATTCGTTTTATGCTTAATCTCGAAAACCATTTATCGTAGACCATACACAATACGTTTTAAACGGTTTCGATCAAAATATGTGACAAAATTTTTAATATTTTTTAATTATAAAAATATTTAAAATTATAGCACAAATATATTTAAAAAATCGGCAGTCGATATTGACAAAATGTACGCATACAGTTGTATTTACTTGAATATTTGGAAAATATTGATATGTAGAAAGCACGTTTTAGGCTCTCATTAATCTTAACAAAGCAAAAAACAGGAGCGACTTGTTCAATTACCTCGATGTGCTGCACAATCTGATTGCGAATATCCCAGATACGCGCCGTTTGATCCGCAGACGCCGACAGCAGGTGATAATCGTCGCTGGACCAATTTAGAGAGTACACAAAAGTTTTGTGGCCGAGAAATCGAACGTGAATTTTGCCGGTTTCGATCTGTAAATAAAAATAATAATTATATATAACTCGGAGATATCATTTTGTTTCGGCGAATAAAAATTTACATCGTCAAAAGAAAAGTAACAATTTTTTGTATCAACGGTGATTATATAGGTACAATATTGAGTTCTGCGAGCGACACACTCTACTTTGAAGAAATTGAAATTTAAAATGAAAATTCGTTTTCATCCTCCCTTCTCTCTCTCTCTCTCTCTCTCTCTCTCTCTCTCTCTCTCTCTCTCTCTCTTCTACAGGTCTGATATTAGTTTATCTCAATATCTTCGACATTGCGAACGCACCTCATAAACGATAATTGGATAATTGTACTCCTCGGAATGGACGCAGGCCAGATACTTGCCGTCGTTGCTAAAGGTGACGTAGAAACAGCCGTTCTCGCTTGCCTCCGTCTCGAACATTTTCTTGTTTGGGATCTTGCAGGACTGAGCGGCCAGTCGGGCCCATTTTGGGAGACCAATCGTCGACTCCGACGTGCGACGCTCCATCGAGAGTCCTCTCCGTGAATCGTTATGTGCGTCGTCGAGAAGATCATTTAGCGGTAATTGCTGATAAAGCACAGATTCGTGTTTCGATGATGGGACTGAAGTCACTGTTACCAGGAGACTGCTCGGATACTTGTCCCTCTTGTTCGACTGCCACCATGTATAAACCTATATACATATGTGAAAGAAAAATTACAGATTGTGATATCGTCTTTTACGAAACTTGGCATAAATTTTTCCTTCTCTGATGAAGAAAAAAAAAAGAGTACAAAGCGTTCAAGGCTCTTCTCGCTTCAATTCTTTTCGCGCCGGCAAAAGTTTGAAGAGAGAGAGAGAGAGAGAATTACACGATCTTCTCCTTTAATATTATACATCGAATTAAAATAGATTTATTGTTATATACACGTGTTACGATTCGTATTCGATGACAGATTTATAAATTTATAAATAAATAATTTATAAATTTATAAATATAATACGTATGCACATGTGATAAAGTATGCTATTTATTAATGAAGGATATCAGGTAGAACTAGAGGAAGTTTCCGACATATTGAAAAAACTGATTTATTTCGATATACAGAAGAAAGATTTATACGAAGACCTAGAAAATTTTTATCTATGTAATGAACTATTCGAAACAAAACGCAAACAGATTGATCAAATGAGAAATGGAGAGATATACCTCGCATGTGTGTTTCCCGTATCGCTTGGAGCTTCGTCTAGGTCTGTAAAGCTGCAATCGTACTTTTTTATCCGTGTGAAGCATGTTATTGAATCCAACAGGTTTAAGGAACGCCCATGCGATTTTATTCCAACATCCCTCGCTACCTAAAATCAAACATAAATTGATATACTCAATTAATATCAATAATATATTCAATTTCGGGAAGAGTGTAATTCAAATAAATTATTGTAATAGTAACGAGACCGAGATATTACAACACACATATAGATTTTATCAATAGTTTTTATAACTGAGTAATTTACTAAAAATATCCTCGGTCGTAAAGTCGTCGTTGTTTCCTTGACTTGAAATGTATATTACATCAATTACTTCATGTAATAATCAATTTATAGAAAAAATAAAAAAAGAAGCTATTCGATATAAAATTGCAATAGAATAAGAATAAAGAACAATTAGATAATTAACATACATTCTGCTCACTTTTGTAACAATATAGCTAATTCGCGTATATTTCGTACAAGTAGTGTTTTTGACTGATGTCCTTTCCAACAAATAGATAAATAATTGATTATTTTTGTTCAATATCAAAACTGCAAAAAATGTACTGCAACTATTGCGACAATCCCAAATAGATTTGTTAAATTATATCTTTGATTGACACAAATTTAAACAAATATTCACACACACAGAATCAGCTTTAATATATATATATATATATAAATCTTTATTATATAATATAATATAAAAACCTATAAACAATATTAAAATGTGACATCCTATAGTAAAATAATGAAGATCTATATAATGAATTGATCCTGTATATTTGTTTATTAATAATTATTAATACGTCATCGAAGAAGATACTTGCCGATTCTATCGTAGACGAGACTCGCTTCGGCGAAGCTTAAGAGGTCTATCACTTCGAAAAGGATCACCGTCCGATCGCTATCCTCGCGTTTCAAGATCGCGTCAAAGTCGTGCTCGAAGACGAGTTCCTCTTCCCAAACCGGTATCATTGACCTATTCTCCCTGAAATCGAATTTGCCGGTGATTAACGGCCGAAGATAGGCGTTGCCGTTCTTCAGGTACGAGCCGGTGCGTGTCTCCACGATGTGGACCATCACCATCGGCCGTTTTACGTTCGCGTAGTCGTCTTCGAGCATGTTCGCCCGATGAATTGTTACAGAAATGTATCTACTCTCGTCTTCCCTCGTTTCTTCCTTCTCCTGTTTCCGTTTCTTTCTCCTCTTTTTTTTGACCATCGGATCGATCGTGTCCTTCGCGGCTGACAAGCTGATGACCTTATCATCGACGGAAATATTCTTCTTTTCAAACAACGATCGCTCTCCTCCTCTCGACGATCGATCTCGCGTCGTCGTTTCCGATTGAAGTCTTCCGTCACCGCTTGTCAATGTTCGATCTTCCATTGAGCTCGATCGAACCTCATCGGTGACTCTCCCTAAACTCGTCGACAAATCCAGTTCTCCGACGCTGTTCTTTCGATCGTTCAAAGATTGTTCAAATCTGGTTGTCCTGGAAGACCGACTGTCGCTATTCATCGCGATATGTCGTTCGCTTTGTCGTTGCTTTCTCGACGAGCTACCGGACGTTGAGCCAGCCTCATCGATATTCGAGCGATCACTTCCCATTCTCCCCATCTCGATCCTGGTGCTCTCGCGATTGTGATCGGTCTCGATGCGGAGTACCTCGTCCTCGGACACGAACGCTGGATTGTCGAAAACGAGAGCTACGTTATTGGTTCGCGGCGCCGGAACTGGAACTTTACGATGTTGCGAGTCGTCGATCAACGGAGAAGCGTCATCGCTCGTCTCGGGCAACCGAATGATCCCGGTATCTTTCGACCAACGTTTCCGCGGTGGCCTTTTCGAATCCATCATCTCTGTCTCGTTCGTCGCGGCGTTCCATTGCTTCCTACGACGTGGTTTCTCCTCATGGGAGTCGTTTCTGTTCCCGGATTCCTCTATCAGATCCAATGACACTATCGTCATTACCTCATCATGCGACCGATGAGAACGATCGTTCGAGGATCTCCTCCTCCTCGCTCCGCGATCAGCGGATCGATTCCAAGACGCTTCGCTCGCTCGCGAGGAAACTTTCGAGCTCTGAGAGGAATGTTTAGTCTCTTTATCGTCCGAGAGTTCGATCGCGAGACCATTCTCGTCATTCCGTTGTTGGCGGTTCGACGAATTTTCACTATGAACATCTACAACGACGCTCATCGTCGCCTTCGGCGGCGAGGTCGCGCTCTCCGTCGACTCCTCCAAGAAGGATGATACATTGCGCGATCTCCTCAATTTTCTACCCCTCGTAGACTCGGCGGATTTAGCCATTCTTACAATCTCTTTCTAGTGACTCTTGTCGCGCTAAAAGGAACAAGGTCGTTCGAAAAAAGATATTGCGGGCATGTATTTCACTTGTGCGAATCGATCGATTGCATTCACGAAGATGACGTACTCACTACTGCCTTGTACAGTCATAGACACTATAGAAAATAATTCTCTGTCCTCACTGTGTGTAATACTCGTCAATATAATTGGTATAATTAAGTATTGCAATAACTCGTTATCCGTCGCGTAGAAAGAGTCGCCCACCAACAGCTCGTTGCTAGGAACGAGTACAGGTGTACCAGTACCAGGTGTGGGAGTATATATTCAGTTACTGACCGCATAAAAGAGTGTGGATCGATCGATAAACGGCGACGGCGGTCACTAATTCAAAACTCTTACGGATGCGATTTTTTAGCAAGGATTGCGCATTTCACATCTCACGAGATCTTCATACACTCGTGATAATTAAGACAGGATTTGAGATAAAAGATAATAATCGTTATTGCGAGTACTCTCTCTTTATAATTCGTCTCTTGCAAATTTTTCTCTTTCGCGTCATTTTCACAGAAATGCGTTTGCAAGAATATTTATTCGACTAAACTCTTGCAGCATGATTTACGTTAAAAGAGGACAAAGAAAAAAGTTTTTCAAGAGAGAGAAAAGTAGTAAAAGAAAGAATAGATCCAAGAATTAGAACAGGCTTTCTTAAAGATTTTTTTAATTTAAAGATAACATATCTCGATTTTATTATCAAAATCCTTGTAAATTTTATTATAGAATTCTTTATCTCAATTTACTTTTTTTATATTATTTATTTCCCCTCGGATCGCTTATCTGCTACAATGTATTTTGATATTATACAATGTATTTTGGGATTGAAATATTTTACTATTTGTATTTTAATTATTAGTCATTAGTTATTTATCATTTCAATTTATAATAGCATCATTTTGCATCACATTATTATTCAATTCCACATTGCTCGCTTCCACCTGTCGTGTTAATTCCTGTAATAATTTAAATTTGGAAACACGTATCTTACACACGAAATCAATTGAACATAGCGACGAAATGGTTCCCTCACCGTGTTAATCATATTTTCGTATTCTTGTTCACATTGCGCTATCAGCGCATTCCTCAAACTGTCCGAAGATTCTTTAGCATCCTCCCGTTCGTCCGGTTTCGAGGAAACATCGGCAAAATCCGACTCGCCGTGCATCTTTAGAGTCTTCAATTTTAATCGTTGCTCTCTATTTTTCGCTTCTATCACTTTCTCTCTACGCGTCTCACGATCTAGAAGCTGAAGCAAAATCAATAGCGTTACTGATCGTATTAATTCAAGAATATTAGAATACGTAGGAAATCTGTTAAAAATATAATCTATCGTATATAAAATCTGTTTCTTCTATCTCTATTTTCCTAGATGATATAAACTATCGTTCTTGGCCATTGCAGCTATATTAGATTATGATGACAAAAATGAGAAATCATATACATTTTTTCACCATATATCGAAACAGATTGACTGTTCTCATATTATTGGCTTATGCAGTTATATCAATACAACTGCACCAAAAAAAGCTTATCAAATATTAATATATTTTTCTCTTCTATTAAAATTTTTAAAATATACATATAATTCATAGCGCTGAAAAAATTAATCATTCATAATTATTAATAAGAAATATATGGTTAGTAATTAATACAGTAATAGCAAGAAACATTACATATATTCGAAATTGTGTTTATTATTGTAGATGTAGATATATGTGACATATATTTTGTAAAAATAAACAAAAAAACCATCTTTTCTTATCTATCTTTCTATTATTATCTAATATTTACCGCGGTTAATTGCAATTTGTCGTTCTTTTGATTGACTTTTAAAGCTTCGGAAAATTCGAGCAGATAGGTTGAACCCTTTTTGTTCGCAACCGCAGCTAATTGTCCCTGCTCATGTGGCCGTAAACACGTCAAACTCTCGTCGCAGACCTTTAAACGATATTGTTATTTTAAAATTAAAATTTAATCAAATTATAAAAAAAATTTCGAAATTGCAGTTACGTAAGTTGTGTTAGCGCAATACCTTTACGCTAAGAACCGGGCTGTCCTGTTGAATTAGGAAATCCCACACGTCTAAAGTGCCGTCGGTTTTGATCAGGTAATAGACGGAATAACGCGTGGCGCTCCATGCGCCGCCGGTTAAAAAATCTCGGTGACCGCTATAGAAATATTTAATTTTGTTTCGTTTAATCGTTTAACAAGCTTGCCGCGCAAGTTTCTCGTAATCATTTATTTCTAAAACACTCACGGTGTCCATGCTATGCAGGATTCCCTACAGTCCTCTGACCAAATTCTTGCGGTCCAATCGCCGACCGTCAAAAAGTTTTTCACAAATGTAGGATTCCTCTCCAAACTTATAACCGGTCCGTATTGCGCCTTGAATCTCGACGCGATTTTCTCGCCAGGCGTTTTACCTTTGCGATTGCCCGATATCACGATACCTGGATATTAGAATTATCCCCATCATAGGTAATTTTACGTTCAATATTCAAGGACAAATTCAAAAGATCTATTCTACGTGTTTGAGCATTAATGGCATTTACGCGACATTTTGTGACTATAAGTTATCGTATCATCTACGGGACTATTTGATATCGTGTAAACAATCCTCTTTTTTCTTTTTGAGAATCGCTTATTATTTCTTCGCGTCATCAAAGTTTTGTAAAACTTATCAATTAACAATTTTTCTTAATTTATCTCTTTTCTATTCCTCGGAAAGTCTATAAAAGCGCGAATCTATCATACCGTTCTCCAAACCGCACATGAAACGCGTGCCAATTGACGGCTCGAATTGAAGAGCCGAAATGCCGATCGCTTTGTCTACGTTCTGATCTTCCGGCTTTAGCAGGTCTATTACTAAAGTCTCCGTCGGAATCTGCATTTTCCTGATATCCCACCACTTTATCTACACGATCAAATATACAACTTAGTCCTATTACGGATGTCTCGTGAGTATGCAAAGAATTAAGTATACACCTGTCCGTCTTTCGAGGCGCTAAAGAATTCGGTACCCGTCTTGGAATTGATCCACAGGGTCTTGTCGCAGGGATCCCGGTGACTGAACTCAACCGAGCTGATGTCCACCGCTTCCGATCCTCGCCTGATGTCCCAGCAGGTTACCTGACCGGTCGCCAGACCACTTATCAAAATATTGCTGTCCTTGGGATTGTACTCCAATGTCAGAATTGGACAGAATGGCTTTAGCGTCATGTAGGGATTGTTTGGGTTCTCTACGGAATAGAATTTCTTCTAGTATATTATTCGTCAACGTGATTGCTATTCAACTTCAATCGCTTCTGCGTGTTCGACGCGCACCTACTTCCCAAATGTACGACGCGTAATTGCCGCTGGAGCTCTTCTTAAAATCATCGTTGCAGTAACTAGCTGCGAAGCGATTGCCCTGATCCGGCGACCATGACAGATGAGCAATCTGACGTTTCATTGTCAGAGGATCACGGTAAACATTCACTGTGCGCGAGAAGGCCCTCTGTATCAGCGGACTCGCCTCTATGTCGGCAAAGTACTGCTCGTAGATGTTGCAAGCGTTGTTTTGCAAAATGCAGTGCTCCATCGACTTGAAAAGAACGAGAAAGTCTCAATCCTGATCATTTCAAAAAAATCGACAACGGAGAGAAAGAGGTAACTCTTTTCTTTACGGGTAACAATTGCAGCATCGTATGGGTGTACAGCTCATCTTTCTCGATCTTGCGTCTATATCTAACCGTCTGTTCCAAATCCTTCATATTTACATCCTTTGGCCACCCGCCCTCGTAATGAAACATCTTGTTATCTTTGTATGTCGCAGTAGTTGTATTTATCTGCGACATATATATATGTGTATGTGATAGATATACTGTGACAATGTATCTTTCGCAAAAATATTGCCCAAAGAAATATATCATACCTCGTGGACCGCGTAAACTTTACCAAATTGCGTAGCATGCGTAACGGGATCCATTCTGATGTAATTGCTCATTAATGCCGAATTTGACTTGATCTCCACCTCGATCTTATCGAAGTCGGTAAAATTGCATCTCTTCCCGAAATGCATTCTTTTTTTCGTATAAGCGTACTCCGTATTCATAGTATATAATAAATAATTGCAAAATTATAGAGCGGAGAAAAGGAGAGAAATACAGATCCAGCGTATACTCGTTGTTCAGTTTAATATTTAAAATTTTATTTTCACTTATTAGGAAATATTTAATAGCACTTTTTGGGTATGATGAAAGATATAAAAATTATATTATAGTGTAAGAAACAACTTTGCATATATTTCCGTCTATTCTTCACAGTCTGTCTAGTAAAGTTCTACTTTCGCAAAAGTATTATCTACTAGGTATTATCAATTAAGCGTACATGATGGTTACTATAGTAACGCAGGATATATCGTATAGCGTGGGACTTGGTTCAATCGGTTCTCACTAAAACTGGCATTTTGGGATTTAAACCCTGATGAAGAATAAACATCACCTTGTACGCCAACGCATATTCTGCGCTCGTAGGCTCAGTGTTAGACTTGACAGTAGGCATTAAGTCGCGTAAAATAATGACGATCAATGTATTCAGATATTCTGTGCGCTGCAATTTCTGTATCGCTTCGTACAGCGACAACAATTGCTTCCTGTTACGGTATCTTATGTTGTACGCTCGGGAAAAATCTGAAATGTTTTATAAATCGAGACAAGATATATATTTGAACGAAATTAAAAATTAAGTATTCAGAAAACTGACCGATGTATGTATATATAAAGTGTGCAAATTTACTTTCAAAATGTTCCATACAGGATATATTCCATATACCATTCGACATCCAGCCTCTTGCCAAAGAAAAATTACAGAATGGTGTTTCGATCGCGGATTCTATAACATTCTTGATGTTATATTGCTTTAAAGAGGCTCCTAATTGACTGAGCGTATTCTTTATATCATTCAGTTGGATCGAATCTAAATCTTCGTTAACAATTTTAAATATAGATATTGATTCAGCTGCTGTTTTAAGCAAATGACACTCTTGTGGTAAACAATCTTGCGTGACTGTATTCTGTGTGATGAAAAAAAACTCATAAATATAAAAATGATCTTACATAGTTTTAAAAATACGTCACTTTTTTTTTGCACTCACTCTCTCTCTCTTTTACTTACCATTACTTCGAATTCTTTTAGAAAAGCATCACGTGATTTCTCGTATCTATTCTTCTTAGTATCGTTCGAGTCATCAATTTCAGTCTTTAAAAATGCATGATAAGATCTCAATACTTTAACGATGTCATTCGGTACATTAAAATATCGCAGTGCTTCTACTACGTCTATCGTTGCAATCCGTTCTTGTACAAATTGACGCGCGTCATCTCCATGTAATGGACAATCAATTCTATGGTCTGAAGAAGGAATTAACACACTCTCGGTAGATTGTCGCGCTGCTATTTTGCGTATTAAATCGTTCAATTCGGCAGCTGATGCTTCGGGCGTTAAAGACTTTTCTGACTAAAATAAAAACGCGCATAATGAAACAATTTAATATTAAAACCTTATATATATATATATATATATACTCTATATACATGTGTGTGTGTGTGTGTGTGTGTGTGTGTGTGTGTGTGTGTGTGTGTGTGTGTGTGTGTGTGTGTGTGTGTGTGTGTGTGTGTGTGTGTGTGTGTGTGTGTGTGTGTGTGTGTGTGTGTGTGTGTGTGTGTGTGTGTGTGTGTGTGTGTGTGTGTGTGTGTGTGTGTGTGTGTGTGTGTGTGTGTGTGTGTGTGTGTGTGTGTGTGTGTGTGTGTGTGTGTTCAAATATGTATATATTATATTATATTACATACATTTTGCGGATTGTCATTAAAATTATTACGTCCAGCTTGTAATTTATTTGCTGAACTTATTTTTTTAACGTGTATTTTATTTTCTAGTATAAAATCTTTTTCCTTCCTTAATTTTGCCGCAACATTAGACGATGTTTTCGATTTTATATTTTGTATTTTTTTATCGATTGCATCATTTTGCTTTGCATTATCGATAGGTTTTGACGATGTAAATTTTTTCGCCGTGAAATTACAAGTTATTTTGTCGGTTTTAACTTGCGCAGGTTTTTTGGCGTCAGAATTCCTGGCGACATTCACCTTTCGCGTTGAAACATTATCTTTCGATATTTTTTTGCGGTCATTAACCAACGTAAGATTGGACGAATAAATATGTTCAATCGAGTCTTTCCTCCAAGATTTTTTCTTTGACGAAGCTACATTAAGCTTCAACTTTTCCCGCAGTTCCTGTGCCAGGATTATCGCTTGTCCTATCCCCGCGGCAATTTCCTCAGCTTCGTTTTCACTCGCAATCTAATTAATAACAAGTATAAAACAAGTATTTATACATAGGTATATGCATAAATTATATAATATATATTATGTGTGTGTGTGTGTGTGTAATGGATGTATTATATCATACTTTGTTACAATTGCAAATGCCCTCCTCATCTATTTGTTTTTCAACAACGTCCTTCACCTGCCACGGCTTTAAGACGAATGCCGCTTCGTCGCAATCCATTTTCAGTATCTGTTTCACCTCCTCCGTGATTAACAGAGTGTTGTGTAACAATTTGTGCAAATTTGACAAATTCAACATATGGCCTGTTATTTCCGTTTGTCCGCAATCCTAATAAAAAAAAAGATATAAATGTGATATTATTATAAAAAGATAATGGAGAAAGATGAAATATGTTTGCCACTCAAAGTGTTAATTTCCGTACGTAAGTAACATAATTATTGCTCTAGGCAATAAAATAGTACACATAAGAGTGTAGGAACTTGTTTATGCAAATTATTATATAATCGGTTTACTCGTCACATTTTTGCTTGTTTACGCAAACGCACAAATCATATATTATTAACTGAACGCAAGGCAAATACGCGAGTTTGATAACTTATATGTAAAGAAAAAATTAAAAACTATATTTGTGTTTGGGTATGTGTATACAGTACATACAGTAGAAAACGTATATTTATAATTTACATCGTATAGTGTGGTGAGATAATAAAATAGACATAAACCAGAATAGAATAATATCTTTTATATATTAAGAATAATATATAATAAAGACTTAATAGGATATATATATATAATTTACTTTTTTCTTTTCCTCCATTTTCGACAATACGTATCTCATCGCTAATTTGTTTGTTTTTTTTTCCTAGAGTTTCAGTCAATCAAAAACTAGAAGAACATTGAAAACAACTGCCTATCCTAACTATGTATATCTAAAACCATCACCCGCCGTGATAGTTTTAAAAATGCTGCAAATTGGAAATGTACTTGTAAACCACTAGCCCTTGCAGTGCCCGAAGACTTGCTTTTGTTTGCACGTAGCAACAAGCAATGAACCGCTTATATGACGTGTAGATAAAAATAAGAGTTTCTATAAAAAATAAGATGTGATCCATGATTTTTTTCAGATTTTGTTCTTAGATTAACAATCCACCCTCTCATATTAACGATCTGTGTAGAGAGATAAAAGCGCAAAACTATACAAATGCTGCAGTTTCCAGAGGTTAAAGAGAGTCACGTCAAAGATCGAGTCAACAAAACGGCGTAATCGTGTAGAAATACGTATTTCCGATATCCCTATTGCGCGCATAGTAAACGCTTCAAATGTATGTCGTAGACTTTTATGATTCACTGCTTATGTGATTTACTTTTTACTAATTAAAAAATAAAATGTCTGTGCATTGCGACATTTGAACTCGAGATTGTGACAATAACCCCCTATGTGAAACTGCAAACGTATAATTTTCTAGTTATATATAAATTATACACATTTATGTTAACTTAATTCCTAAAGTAACAAATGTGTGTGAAAATGCATCACTGAGAATTATCCTCGTAGTAAATGAAATATTTTGTTGTAAAGCGGGAAAAATTATGGAGTTCATTAACTGGATGCAGGTAATATAAGAGACGAATCAATGTTGATTTTACTTCTTATAATAATGATTATGTGCGTTTATAATTCGTCCTTCCTTGGCACGTCATCGTCTTCGTCCTCTTCTTGAGCCTGTAACGGAATAATCAATATGAGCAACATAAAAAAAGTTACGCCTCGTTAAATTCGTCAAAGAAGATATGGCTCGAGCAATAGATAATTTAATGTGTCTCTTTTTTTTATAATCGAATATATTTGTACGGCTTTTCTTTCGCGATACAAATGCAATTCCATAACATACCTCTTCCGCGGCTTGACCGTACTCTCCGCCGCTTTCGATAAATTTGGAAAGACCTTCGAGCGTCCTTTCACCGTTGAATTCTACAGCCTAAGAGCGAAAGTTATTGAAATGAGAACGTTATAAGCATACCGCAATCTGAACGGAAGCGAAAAATTCGTACCTGATTCGTCTCTTTCTTGTATAGCGTGAGTGTGGGGAAATTGATAATCTTTACATCGTCCAATTCATTAGCAGTAGCATCCATTTTCGCGATGACCAACTTGTTATTGTTTTTATATTTTTCACCAAGCTGAAATCAACGCTTTAGCGATGTAACAGAGCTATACACCGAGACTATTGTTGTTTACAAGAGAGTTTCAAAAGAAAGAGAAAACATACTTTATCGTAAATGGGTGCAAGCTGCTGACAATGGCCGCACCAAGGTGCGTAAAATTCAACGAGAACGTCCTTCTCCTTGTCATAGGCAATTTCGTGGAAGTTTGTGCCAACGAGGACTTTAACCGGGTTCTTGTCCCAATCCTCAGGCAGATCTTGCGTAAGCAAGTGCCGCTTCAATTTGCCCTCCACGAAAGCGGTGACGAATTCCTTTATATTTTCGGCAGTTAACTCTGGATTTTCGGGCTTGTATTTCGCCATGTCCTGCTCGAGCTTAATGAGTCGCATAGCCGGCACGTTTTCCTTCTTCAAACCGAAAAACTCGAGAATGCGTTCGTGATCAGTCTCATCACAATCGATCGTCACAAACAGGACCTATGTGCGGATATTAAAGGGATATTTTAATCGGTTCTTCAAAAAATGATATACAAGAAGACAAGAATATAAATGTACAAATATGTTTCATACTTCGCCGCGGTAATTTTTCGCCGGCTCTCGAATTCCATCCATATATTCCTCAAAATGGCCAGCTTCCTTGCTAAGGAAGATTAATAAGTGGCTTTTGATGTCTCCGCTGAAAATCTTCTGCGCCGTATCCTGGTTAAATTCAACAACCAAAGGTAACGAGTGTACGGAAATAAAGTTTTGTACATCTTTAACGGTAACTTCTTCGTCGTAGATGGCTCTTCCTTCGTCAAACTACAAAGAATAAGAAATTAATTTGGTTTGTGAACTCTTATTTTGAAAAGTAGAAATCAATTTTGCTTCAGATTATTCCTATTTCTAAATACTAATACAGTAATATTGGTGTACCTTCTTGAATAGCACAATCTTTCCATCTTCAATCTCATATTCATTAAACACTTCATCAGCGCTAGTAATACCAAACACATGATCATCCACAATATTACCAACTTCCAAGAACACTTTGGCGGCATCACTTGTGACATCCTAGTAAAGTCATTATACGTATATGAAGAGCATGAAAAATGCATTAAGAAATTAACTGCTGTATCAGATTCTGTGATTATCATAATATATAATAGTTCAGAATGCAAAAAACGTTATACATTAATCAATAATGATGAATATAATGAATTACATAGCAACATTGAACCAAAGAGATACGTTCAACAATATTTCATCATTGCTATACCTTAAAGAATCCAACAATAGCGACATTGTGCGTGTCGATAAACACTTTTGCCTCGTCGATCGTTGGCAAATCTTTGGCAGGTGGACCAGTCTTCTTGTTCAGCCAGTTGACAATGTCGTCAGCTTGACGACCACCGGTATATTCGATCGGGACTCCTTTACGATAAAATATGAGAGTGGGATATCCCTTCACTCTGTGCTTCTCGGCGAGTTGCGTTTCGATCGTTGCATCTACCTTGCCTAATTTGATTGTTGATTTATCGTCTTCCAGTTTCTTTGCTGCTTTAGCGTATTCGGGTGCTAAAGCTTTGCAGTGTCCGCACCATGGAGCATCTGTGACGAAGAAATATTTATAATAGCGTTAGTACTTTGGTATCTTACTCAAATGCAAGATTATTATTATTCAGGAAAAATTTAATAGACAATACTTCACATTCGCAACGCTATGAATTTTTTAATATTATTTTATTCCTATCTCTATTATAATCTTGGCAATGATATAATCAAACATATGAAATATCATGACTCTGTTGAATTTCTTTTTTTATATCAAAACTCTTATTTAATAAAATCAAATAAAAAAAAAAAAAGGAAAAATATTAGATCACCATCCTACAACTTTATATATTGAAATCTTTCAGAAATATAGCTGTAAACTGTCGAATTACATGAATACCATATGGTTAATCGTGCAAGTCGACAAAATGGCAATTAATGACTTAAAAATTGATTAAATTGACACATTAAATCTTTCGATCATGATGGCATAATTAATTCAAATTTCATTTAATCCAGATCATTTAATTTAGATGGATCGACTTGGATCATTCGTGGTTCGCTGGTCAATTACCGGCATCATCATCATCGTGGAATTATCATAATGTGAAATATGACGTCATCCGCCGTCTCGATCAGATCATCGACTTACAAAGTCATGTATAACGGTAAAAAAAAAGCGTCAAGGAAAAAGGCTCGTTTTATTTTCGCACTTTCCTACACTTTTTACACTTGACAAGACAAACCACAAACGCGACTGAACGCGACGCGTGGTTTGCATTTTGGACGAAGAAGAGTCATCGAGAATGTAAAACTGTTCTCGTTTACGAAAAGTCCCAAGGGTCATTGAAAGGCATCTAAGAGATTAAAATCTCGTAAGCACATATATCTTACTGTGATAAGAATATAATAGATATTGTCCAAATGTGATCGAAAAGGACATTTATTCTTTTCAGCGTTTTCTCTTTCTATGATCACGGATTAGGTATACGGGCTTTATCATTAAAATATCATCGAAAATGGAGGAGAGAAAGAGAGAAAGAAAGAAAGAAAGAAAGAAAGAAAGAAAGAAAGAAGCCTAAGAGCGAAAGTTATTGAAATGAGAACGTTATAAGCATACCGCAATCTGAACGGAAGCGAAAAATTCGTACCTGATTCGTCTCTTTCTTGTATAGCGTGAGTGTGGGGAAATTGATAATCTTTACATCGTCCAATTCATTAGCAGTAGCATCCATTTTCGCGATGACCAACTTGTTATTGTTTTTATATTTTTCACCAAGCTGAAATCAACGCTTTAGCGATGTAACAGAGCTATACACCGAGACTATTGTTGTTTACAAGAGAGTTTCAAAAGAAAGAGAAAACATACTTTATCGTAAATGGGTGCAAGCTGCTGACAATGGCCGCACCAAGGTGCGTAAAATTCAACGAGAACGTCCTTCTCCTTGTCATAGGCAATTTCGTGGAAGTTTGTGCCAACGAGGACTTTAACCGGGTTCTTGTCCCAATCCTCAGGCAGATCTTGCGTAAGCAAGTGCCGCTTCAATTTGCCCTCCACGAAAGCGGTGACGAATTCCTTTATATTTTCGGCAGTTAACTCTGGATTTTCGGGCTTGTATTTCGCCATGTCCTGCTCGAGCTTAATGAGTCGCATAGCCGGCACGTTTTCCTTCTTCAAACCGAAAAACTCGAGAATGCGTTCGTGATCAGTCTCATCACAATCGATCGTCACAAACAGGACCTATGTGCGGATATTAAAGGGATATTTTAATCGGTTCTTCAAAAAATGATATACAAGAAGACAAGAATATAAATGTACAAATATGTTTCATACTTCGCCGCGGTAATTTTTCGCCGGCTCTCGAATTCCATCCATATATTCCTCAAAATGGCCAGCTTCCTTGCTAAGGAAGATTAATAAGTGGCTTTTGATGTCTCCGCTGAAAATCTTCTGCGCCGTATCCTGGTTAAATTCAACAACCAAAGGTAACGAGTGTACGGAAATAAAGTTTTGTACATCTTTAACGGTAACTTCTTCGTCGTAGATGGCTCTTCCTTCGTCAAACTACAAAGAATAAGAAATTAATTTGGTTTGTGAACTCTTATTTTGAAAAGTAGAAATCAATTTTGCTTCAGATTATTCCTATTTCTAAATACTAATACAGTAATATTGGTGTACCTTCTTGAATAGCACAATCTTTCCATCTTCAATCTCATATTCATTAAACACTTCATCAGCGCTAGTAATACCAAACACATGATCATCCACAATATTACCAACTTCCAAGAACACTTTGGCGGCATCACTTGTGACATCCTAGTAAAGTCATTATACGTATATGAAGAGCATGAAAAATGCATTAAGAAATTAACTGCTGTATCAGATTCTGTGATTATCATAATATATAATAGTTCAGAATGCAAAAAACGTTATACATTAATCAATAATGATGAATATAATGAATTACATAGCAACATTGAACCAAAGAGATACGTTCAACAATATTTCATCATTGCTATACCTTAAAGAATCCAACAATAGCGACATTGTGCGTGTCGATAAACACTTTTGCCTCGTCGATCGTTGGCAAATCTTTGGCAGGTGGACCAGTCTTCTTGTTCAGCCAGTTGACAATGTCGTCAGCTTGACGACCACCGGTATATTCGATCGGGACTCCTTTACGATAAAATATGAGAGTGGGATATCCCTTCACTCTGTGCTTCTCGGCGAGTTGCGTTTCGATCGTTGCATCTACCTTGCCTAATTTGATTGTTGATTTATCGTCTTCCAGTTTCTTTGCTGCTTTAGCGTATTCGGGTGCTAAAGCTTTGCAGTGTCCGCACCATGGAGCATCTGTGACGAAGAAATATTTATAATAGCGTTAGTACTTTGGTATCTTACTCAAATGCAAGATTATTATTATTCAGGAAAAATTTAATAGACAATACTTCACATTCGCAACGCTATGAATTTTTTAATATTATTTTATTCCTATCTCTATTATAATCTTGGCAATGATATAATCAAACATATGAAATATCATGACTCTGTTGAATTTCTTTTTTTATATCAAAACTCTTATTTAATAAAATCAAATAAAAAAAAAAAAAAGGAAAAATATTAGATCACCATCCTACAACTTTATATATTGAAATCTTTCAGAAATATAGCTGTAAACTGTCGAATTACATGAATACCATATGGTTAATCGTGCAAGTCGACAAAATGGCAATTAATGACTTAAAAATTGATTAAATTGACACATTAAATCTTTCGATCATGATGGCATAATTAATTCAAATTTCATTTAATCCAGATCATTTAATTTAGATGGATCGACTTGGATCATTCGTGGTTCGCTGGTCAATTACCGGCATCATCATCATCGTGGAATTATCATAATGTGAAATATGACGTCATCCGCCGTCTCGATCAGATCATCGACTTACAAAGTCATGTATAACGGTAAAAAAAAAGCGTCAAGGAAAAAGGCTCGTTTTATTTTCGCACTTTCCTACACTTTTTACACTTGACAAGACAAACCACAAACGCGACTGAACGCGTGGTTTGCATTTTGGACGAAGAAGAGTCATCGAGAATGTAAAACTGTTCTCGTTTACGAAAAGTCCCAAGGGTCATTGAAAGGCATCTAAGAGATTAAAATCTCGTAAGCACATATATCTTACTGTGATAAGAATATAATAGATATTGTCCAAATGTGATCGAAAAGGACATTTATTCTTTTCAGCGTTTTCTCTTTCTATGATCACGGATTAGGTATACGGGCTTTATCATTAAAATATCATCGAAAATGGAGGAGAGAAAGAGAGAAAGAAAGAAAGAAAGAAAGAAAGAAAGAAAGAAAGAGGGAATGATGATAAATTGTAGAAAGTCGCACTGGAGAACATGCCCGGAATCGTAGATCGATCGCGTGTACCGCTGGCTACCGGTCTCCCGTTATCTCTCCTCGAGGATGCCCGAGAGTCCGAGGCTCGAGTGATGACGTGTACGAAGTACACATGCTCGTGTTTGCATCTGGATCACGCGAGTGAAACCGGCGCACTACGCGTCTCGGCGTTCGGCGTAGGAATCGCGGGGGATGAATTTTAATAAAGACCTGCCTCCTCCCTTTAATCGTATGTAACTTCGTTAACATTATTTTTTGTAGAGACTATTATTTTCTTCTTTATCCTTCTAACCGCGAAGCGTGAATAAAGTCCCGTCCCGAGTACGGAAGGTGCAGCTGGACCGGTGCAGCTCCCTCGGAGCAACAGATACACTCCAAAGAGAGATATATACATATATATATATATATATATATATATATATATATATATATATGTATATATATATATACATACATATATATATATACTCACAGAACTCGAGAAGCACGAATTCATTGTCCTCGATGACGCTGTCAAAGTTGTCCTTAGTGACCACCAAGACACCCTCGTCGACCTCGATCTTGGCGAGACAAGCCGCGACGAGGCAGAGCGCCGCGAGACAAAATTCGCCGACGAAACCCCTCATGTTGATCAGAATCCCTCTCTCTTTCCAGATCCCGGAACACTCTCTTCTCGTTGCTGGTACCTTCGGAGAACCGAGTCGGAATAATACGGTTCGTCTCGTTGAAGCAGACGGTAACGAATAACGACGGCGGCGGCGGCGACGACGACGACGGCAACGATGAAGAGGACGGGATAATGAGAAAGACACCGTCCACGAGGAGCGCGCGACGAATGAGCGGCTGAGTGGACGCGGCGCTGCGTCGGCGAAGCGATAGGCTCGCGCTTTCATACGCGTGGCATCGTCCTCATCGTGGGGATCGCGGATTGGCTGAACCGGCCGCCGGCCGCGGTCGGCCATACGCGATACGCGTCATTGTCTCAAGTCGCAGCACGTCCGTCAAGCGACGACTTTATCCTCCGGCGAGATAAAGCCGCGATTTCCGGGGATCACGTTGTCGATCTCGGACGATAAGACACTCGGCGAAAGATAACACATTTTACAAGTATATATTGACAAAAATTATATAGGACAATATATTACAAATGTAAAGTATCACAAAGTATTATATTAAGTGTACGATATTACAATATTTTATTATCAATATGCAATTTTGTTTCTCAATAAATTCTTGCGAATTCCTAAATAAAAATTTCATCGCCCGAAACAATTCCGGAAAAATCTTCAAATGACAGTATATATTATTGTCCAAGAATGATATTCCAAAAAACGAAAATATATTACAATGATACTAGAGTGTACTATTCGATTTTTAGAACATTTATATTATAATCTGATGAATACTAATATTTTATAATTATTTATTTATTTCGAATATTTGAGTATTCAAGTCACTTTATTATTTGATATTAGATATTATTATTCGAATAATTCATATTTTTGGTTTAAATCGATGATATAAAAATTAATTTCAAATGGATCATTAATTATTTATATCGACGGAGAGAATATTTCCGTCAGTATCGGCCATGCTCGCCGAATGTCAAGATCGCCAGCGTCATATATGAATAGGTTATGTTCCGATATACACTAAACACTACCAGTACAGAAAATCTATAATATATGTAATATAGATTTCCAGTTTTGGAGTATTGGCAATATATGTACATCGGAAAATAGTCATAGTGGCCATAGTATAAAATAATATTTTGGTGATGCAACGATGTAGCCTAATGTATTCGAAAATAGGAGAAAAGTTAACAAACGAGTTTAATTGTCAAATTTGTGGGACCTGTAAATATCGCAAAAGCTATAAAATTCGTACGATTCAGATTCAAATTTAAATAAGATATATTTTAATCATGATTCACGTTAATGTTTTTATTATAGTCGCACGATTAAAGCAATGGCAAAACGACGAGCATAGCTGATAAGAATGCACGCACTCGATCCTGTCCTTCGAAGAAACTGCATAATGATCATTTATTCAAAACGCAGTCCAAGGTATCCACGATTAATTAAGCAAAAGAAAGAATTTGTATGATTAGATAAATTTTAGCATCCTTGGGGTCATACTTCTGTCATTTTTCATTTTAAAGAAAATTTATTATTTCCAAGAATCTTATTATTCCTCAAGAATATATGTCTTATAAAATATTCTAACGCTGCATGCTTTCCCATCCTCTAAAAGAGGGAAGAATATAGGGAAAATTGAGAGAAATATATAGTTTTACGATAACTGGAGAAATACAGATATTTGACAAATATACAAGCGTAGAAGAAAACGTGTATATAAAAATGTATTCTTAAAATATTATTAAGCTTCTCATAAATGTTTCTTATTATTAACCATAGAATCGGAAAATCCTCCCTTGTGTCTCTAGATAATGGTGCTGTTAAAAAATCAGAAAATTGTTTTACAATAAGCAGGAAAGAAGCTTCCTTAACAACGTAATATTTAATTTTGAAGAATCAATGTGTATTTTATTTAATTGTCAGTAATAATGCAAGCCGAACAAGCGTCGGTATAGGATTATGGATTATGTAATTGTGTCGCGTTAAGACAGAAATTCCCGAAATAAATGCAGCCACGAGGGCTATAATATTGGCGACGACGATATGCTTCATTATCGTGGTCGACGGGTACAAAGTCACTTCCGCGATTTATTTTCGCGCATCAATCTCAGACGTTTTCAGCTCCGAGACTAGCGCTTCACCAAAGAGATTTTGATGATTAATAATGCGTATATATTTAGTGCAAACGCGCCCATATAATTAGCATATTACATAAGTAAAATATAATGAGCATCGAGATTTTGTGCTGTGTATAATACATTTCAGGTTCCTAAATTGTACTATAATTTCTCACATGACATGTTAACGATCGATATTAATAAATCTGTATGGAGATAATTAATAATTATAGTAATATACGAAAAAAACAATTAAAAGAGATCCTTTATCTGCCAAGGTGACGATGTATAAAGTAACGTCGGAAATATACACGGAAAACGATCGTATCTCCGAAAAACTAGACAGTGGCAGTGAGTTGCACTTTTTTCTTTAATTTGGTATAATATATTTCTAGACTTACAAATATAAATTTAAATGCGCAAATATGTGTTAAAACATACCGCAATTAATTTCAGATACGGTAACCAAATTCACTTTTAAATATCCGTCATACATGATCGACTCGGGATCAACGGAAGAAACGTTAAATTACGATAGCGACGACGATCTGGATGTGGAGAGAGATAGAGAAGGAACGATTCAGATAGGTGCGGAATTGATTACCACTTCGCGCACATGCCGTTGTACATCCGTATTTAGCGGATTGTATATTTACAGAACATAGCGTATCCACGGAGCTCAATTTAGTCGGTTTGCAAGTCTGGAGAGGCGCTTTCCTGTTAGCCGACTATATCCTATCCCATCCGGACTTGTTTAAGAATCAAACGATTCTGGAATTAGGATCAGGAGTTGGCCTGACCAGCATTGTAGCGAGTTATTTGGCTAAGGAAGTCATTTGCACGGGTAATACATACAAATGTCTCTATTAAGAGCTTCAACCTTATTTATCTAAAATTTCCAGACATCAATGCGGGTGATATTTTGAATCTAATTAAACGGAATTTTCTGAGGAATCACTCCTACGTCCGATCCGGTTATCGTATCGAAGAAGTGAATTTCTTAAACCTGGGATGGACGAAGAAGTTGGAGGAGAGATTACAGAGCGCAAATATTATATTGGCAGCGGATGGTAAATTTAATAATTCTGTATTTTGTAATAACAAATGTAAAAGATAGAGATAAGAGAAATGATAATGGTATTATAATGGTATGGAATGATAATGGTATTACTTTCTTTTTGGTCTTGCAGTCATCTACGATGACAAAATTACGGATGGATTTGTCCGCACATTGTCGAAACTTCTATACACGAAGGAGAAAAAGATCATTTACATCGCACTGGAGAAGCGATACGTCTTCACTATCGCCGACTTGGACACTACCGCTCCGATGTACGAGGAATTTTTACGTTGCGTCGAAAAGTACAAAATGAATTGGTCTATAGATTATATTAATATTGATTTCCCACGCTATTTCAAATATAATAGAGTCAAACATTTGGTTTTAATGAAGATACAAAACAATATAAGATCTATTGCATATGTATAGCGAACAGCTTACGTTCTTAATAAGGTACGCGCGAGTAACACAGTATATTATGCGATATAACATATATTATATAAAATATTCACGTCAGTATTACAAGTAGAAAGACAGAGTTTAAAGTTGCCAGATTAAAAAATTAAGATTTTTTCATAGATGTACACTTATATCTAACAAAATATATAGCATCACAATTAATGTAAGTTGTGTAAAAAGTAATTGTCTACTTAAAACAAGTCACTTCTCGGGTATTGTTTTCGCCAACACACGTGCATAAAATAATTAAACGGTAAAAACTTTTTGCGCGATTTTTAAACAAGATTTAGCTTAAGTTAGGATATTATATCTAGAAATCTCTTCTCTTTAATCCTTTGATTAAAAACGGTAACCAAAGGATTAATAAGAAGAAAATATTCTGATTGTTCGTGAAAATGACAGCTATGTGATATAGATTTCTCACGTCCACAATTTTATTTCATCGTTTATTCTCTTATTTACAACCTATTATAGATAATATTATATTGGACAGTGAATTGGAAGTCGATCGAAGAGAACGATAATTCCGTTAAGCTTAAAAATGCCCCGGCATTTGATCGGCGGCGTACGTTCTAGGAATAAAAAAATTTCATTATACTACCTACAATGTAAAGAAGACAGTATGTATATATAAAGGAATGTAAGCGCTTCTTCGAACGACCGCGGCAGTACAGGTTGTAATATGTTACACGCAAAATTCATAACAGTTCTAGTATACTAATTGATATACTAGAGATCTGAACCGCCAAGAGTGTGTTACACACGCGAAAGAACGACGATCGCCAGAGGGATTAATAGTCGATTAATAGAATGCAAATTATCGATTAATCTCATTAATGCGAAGCGAAAGTATAATAATTGATTCGCGAATTTCAGAACGATATCTTTTAAATCGTCGACCGTCGTTCCGCGGATTCAGATCTACGCTTGGTTTGGTAAAAAGGCACTTTCGCTCTACCGATCCGTCTCTCTCGATGTAGAAAATGTATAATTTACAGCCTCATAATTTTTTTGTTTTAATATACTTTTATGTATGTATATACATGTACACACGTATATAAATACACGCTCGCGGGAATATCTGAAATTGCAGACATAGCATTTTGTCACCACATTCAGCGTTCGCCTTACTCCTCTTCTCCCCCTTCCCTTCCAAAAAGAGAAAGATCAAAACGATAAAAAGTTCGTAATGTTCGGCTACGATCAATCTACCACAATGAGCATGCACATTCCGCTATATAAAAGAGTAATCTATCGATGTGCATAAAAGAACATTTCACGATTTCGAGTTTATCTCGCGTAAGCGAGTGAGCAAGATTAGAATTTTGTTTATTCGTGCTTCCAAAAAACTAAAAGTCTCCTCCAGAAATCATTCTTTGAATCCTGAGATCCTTCGTTCTACGCATTCGTCTGCTATAACATGTGACAAAATGAATCTGCGTTATTTCTGGAATATAGTGACTTCGCGAGTTTTATGGATCAGTTGCAAATATACCGGAAAAGAATTCTACCGGAAATGCCATGTAAATAATAAAAGCTTTAAAAAAAGAGTGAAATAATGAAACACCACTGACTAGAGGAAAAACAAAAGAAGAAAAAATAATGTATAATATATGATAAAAGTTGCACGCCCGCGAGAGGCATCATTCGTTTATTGTTCGCGATCGGAGTCATCGACACAGAGACGAACAGGATAGAGTCGTTCGCCGGGTATCCTCTTCCCCGTTTTCTCCATTCTCGATTCGACTATATACGTATAATCATTTACAGCTTTAAATTAAATCTCGAAAATCGAATCTAACTAGCACGATAACCATTCGGCTCATTTAATCATTTCAATTGCATCTTATTTATACTACTTGTAACAAATACTGTACAAAAAAGGAAAAAAAAAAAAAGAAAAAGAAAAAAGTACAATTTGCATTACAAACGCGCGAGATCGATTTTATTGTTACCATGGGTTAGTAGCTATACTGAAAGCTACCTCCATTCGCGGACGGTTTCTGGCTGGCGGCGATGTTCGCCGTCGGCGTATCGCGTCCAGGACCAATTTTCGCCGTTGGTTATTCGGTGGTATTCTCTCGCTCTCGCTAAACTTGCGTCGATTTGCAATGTAGCGTTGCGTTGCTGTGCTCTTTCCATCACTTGCACTATATAGTTTGTACTTTTGCGCATTTGCCGGCGAATCATCACTCAACGGTATTCCAATTTTCACTCTAATCGATAATAAAACCGCGTTGAACGATCGCGATCTTATTCCGGGATGCTCCGTGTCAAAGGATATCGCATTCGCAAAACTTTCACCGATAAACGGAATTCCGCATCGAACTATCGTGAATGAGTCTTGCTGCTCGACGAGGACGACGAGACACGCTATTATGCTAGCATTTAAATGTCGCTTATGTACCTGTGACGTTGTGCACGTTACTGTGCATGCTTTTGACGTTTTGCGAGCTGGGTGAACTCAACGGCAACGAGGTGGTCGTCTTCCGTCTGGCGTTCGTCGACGAGCTCGACGAGCCATCATTCCCGAAGCTGATCTTGACGCCACTCGATATACCGCCGATCTTGGACCCGTCCTGTTGCATCGATTGTGTGCCTACAGCTCTCCAATGCTCCACCTGGGCCTCGTGTGACTTTTGCAACACCCTACGCACGTCTCCGTCCTCGCCGCCCTCTTTCATAATCTCCTGCAGCTTCTGTATGGTCTGGTACAGTATCACCGGACTGATCAAACCAAAATCGAACAGACTGCACATGTGCAGTACAAAGTTGCGGTAGAGGTTCTTCATGAGCAGCTCCTTCCCCTTACTCTCTAAGAACATTTGGCAAGCTAGTGGTATCTGGCAGTCTCCCACATATCCATATTTCATCACATGTAGGTTCCACATTTTCATCAGCTCCTTCTCACCCTCGTTCACGTCCGTGAAATCGTCAATCATCATCATTGTCTTTGTTTGCAACCACTTGGGATCGTTTTCACCTTCGGAATCGATGCCCATCTCTTTAGGGTATATAGGCAGACACGTCACGGTGTGATGATACAGTCTAAAGAAAATAAGTACACTTTTAGTAGCAAAGAATTATTCGTGCTATAACTTTGGCGATTTGTTCATACTGTAACACTTACCTATTGTGACCTGTGATATAGGGTCTCTGGCTCTCGAACTCATTTTCGTCAAGTTCCAGAAACTCGGACAGGCTCGGTTTCGTTCTCTTCGGACGGCACACCAAAATATTTGTCACGCTCGTGCGCCTGGTTGGTCCTGTCCTTGAAAAAGGTGCACTAGACGGTTGCGAAATTAATTCGTGAGGACTACCTGCATACGAACCATCATAGCATTCGTTTATTGCTACGTCTATTCGGGCACCTTGTGGAATTGGCTGAAAAAAAGCATATAGCGAGTTAATTTTATTGTGTAAGAGCCGTCGTAACGCTTGCATTTTTGTTGTCTGTTCTATTGATTGTGGCCACTTGTTCTTCATTAGTCTCTAGCGCCCTTCATTTTCGATTCCATTGGATCAAATCGATTTTTTATTTCTCTTTAAACACATGTTTATTACATTATTATCAACAACATCTATATAAACATATTGTAACTGCAAAACTCTAATCTTTCAAGATTATTTATATTTTTGAAAAATAATGGAATCCGAAATCTCAGGAATTACAATATATTTCGTTACATGTAAATGTAAATTGTATTTATTACTTACGTGACATTAATGTGAATTGTGCTTACCACATATGTGAATGTGAATCGCGAGTGACACAGTTTCAAGTGCTTTAATAGAGAGTACAGTTTTCCACAATCCAGGGAGCACCAGGGGCAGTGTAGGTCTTCGCAGGCCTCCGTCTGTTGCCGGCTGTTATTATTGTACAAAAATTGATAGACTATTTGCTGAGTTCCGTTAGCGTTAGCATTAGTGTCCACCTTTTCGTTGGAGACACTCATCCTCGACGAGGGTGTTAGCGGACTAGGCGTTGGCAGTGTCGCGTTATTGTTATTGTTTGTGCTACTATTATTATTGTGGTTTACAGAAGAGGAACGCTCGAAACCAGCTGAAAAGATAATGACAACACCGTTTATCGTAATGCAATTTTTTTTGTTTGATGCGGACACATTACAACATTGCGGATTTGCACGCATGCATGATAATCGAAGACAACTAACCGTTGACCGATCGATTTTCTTTATTGTCGCCACTTGGTATCGAAGGTATTGGCACCGGTCTGTCCACTAAACCGTTGCTTGGCTCCGTGGTCCAGCTGAGCCGGAACTTCAAAGTCGGTCCCTGCTTGAACATCTCGAATGGTTCGCAATCCTTGATATCGACTACGGTTTCCCAAGAATTGTGCTTCTTAGGACTGGACCTGACATTGGTCTGCACTTCTTGCAAACCCAACTCGTACTCGCCATCCGTTAACAGACATCGATTGTGTTTGTCGTAGACAGTGAGCTCCGAGCCATACTGTTTTACTTCATCGCCGGCAGTCTTGATCGAGCCCGTAGACGATTTACGACGTTTTTGAGCTGGTTCTGTGCAAAAAGACACAATTGAAAACGGACAGGTATCATTTTTACTCGCGAGCGTACGTACCTTCTAAATCACAGTTACTTATAAGGCAGCCATTGTTAGACATGCAATAAACCCTGAGCAAGAGCATGTAAGTTTTCGCTATGTGACCGTTGTTTAAGCTAAAAGATTCATTAGGTATGGAAATCGTGGGTGCTTTCGGCGGAGGCTGACTCTCGGATGGGTTGATCGGGACCTCGCTTGTACCGACTGAAACCTAAACACACCGACATGTTTTAATCAAGTCTATTAATGAAAAATCTGATTGCACATTACAGTATTTTGTACATAGGACTATTACATCGAATCCAATATAAACTCAAATTTACCTGCATGATAGGCGAGCTGACATCTTTTCTTTTCTTGTGGCAGATTTTCAACAACAACGTTTCCACTTTGACTGGATCTTGCGATATCTCAACTACAATTATACATTACAATCTTAAGAAGCATATAATCATTTTGCGAAATACCTCGCCTGAACTTGTTGGACAAATAAAAGCGCGAGGATAATTGAAATGTACCTCTTTTGTCGTAAAATCCTAGAAATGTAAGAGTCATATATCCGCGAACGTCGAGATTCTGTTCTTGCTTCTTTTTCGCTAATAGCTTATCTAGAATCGTGTCAATCTTAAATCCTCGCCGTGATTTGTGACTTCTGGACATACGTTGCCGCATATACGTTAAATTTCTGTACAGAAATATTGGCTAAAAAAAAAGTTATTAACTTTTAATGTACTTTCATTGAACGAAATACTCGGTAATCTTTAAATAATATAAATTTTTATAATATAGCTTATACTTCAATTTTATACCCACCATACTATATGAATTTTAAACACAGCAATTCTGAGAAGCGTATAAAAATGCAAATCTCGACTCGGTCAAAAAAATATATTTTAACTTACCTGTAGCAAATGCTTGGTAAATTTCAATTTAACATTGCGCGTAAATTTTAACTATTTATCTTTGTATTATTGTTTTGTTAGAAACTTTTGCTACACCAAAGACGCATATAAAAAAAATTATATGCATATATAACAGAAGCAGACAAGATGTACAATTAACACTTTGAGGGCAATGCAAATTAAAATTACATGACACAACCAGAACGATTAAAATAGATAATAAAATATTGTCTACTCACTGAAATTTGGTTTCTTGTGCGAAGGAACCGGTAAATCTGCGTTGGTTCTGGAAAAAAAAATAAAAATAAAAAAAATAAAGTTACAAATAAAAATATTAAAACGTTTTATAATAAGTGGAAACAATTACTGATAGAATATAGAAATATAAATATTTGAGAAACTAGTTTTCCTAACTATATTCTTGAAATCTTTATGCAATAATTTTTATTATGCAATAGCAGTAAAGTTCATGTGAATTTATGAAAGTTAAAAAGAGATCTTATAATTATTCTTATAATTAAATCTCTTTTTTAATTTATTACAAGCTTGTACTATAAATGCAAAAAAAATTATTTATTTTATAAAGTTCATATAAAAATTAAGCTTTTCGTACATATTTATATTTTACATTTGCTTTTATCAAACATGAAATTTTATTTTTATCTCTATCACTTTCTTAGTACGAAATCGAATCCCCAGATGGCCGTAGGATTGACTACTATCTCGAGCTTAGAAAACATTCATAAGCATTTAAAGGAAGCCCAGCATGATGCAAAAGACTGATCCTTCAATCAGGTATCAAACGGGATATGATGAATGGGTTTTACTCAAATTATTTGAGACGCCTGCACCCTACTTTGTTACGACACTAGCAGGCAAAACCTCTCTGATCCCACTTTTCTATTCCATCAATTTATCAAGCGACGCGGCAGCGTCGCGACGCCAAGTATACGAAATAAAATTAATATCTGAAGAACCTTTTTAGAAGACTTGCAAAAAAACACAAAATTTGGAGATGTATATTTCATATTCTAGAAATAAAACTGAATACATGCCATGCAAACTTTAAATTTGAAAAATACTAATACACAATATAAACAAGTAAATGTACATTTGAGACATTTCTTTCATCACACCTCTATGTATCAACACCCATTTTGCCGTAATACTAGCAATTATAATGAGATACGTAATTCGAAGAGAGCCTTGGTTTTTCCGCAAATTCATATAACTCTCATAAGAAAAAGTAAAATACATTTTATTAAAAAAATAAACGGATGCAGTGTATATTCATCCGGGAAAAATTGCTCGCGAGTCCGATTTGCGGTAGAAAAAAAAAGGAGCATGTCGGGCTGAGAGAGAGAACGATGACAGGTGTCCGCGCGTTTCAGCGGCGAAGGGTGCGGAGAGTGAAACCGACGCGCGCTACGGTGGGCGCCCAAGTTGGTTCGCGACGGATGGGGTTAGGTTCGGTCGCGACGGTGGCGAGCGAGATAACGATACATCTGACCGGGGGCGTCGCGCGCCCTCCGCGAAAGGGTCGTCGAGGGGATCTTCTCACATCGAGGAGATCGGAGAAAGCTGGCGCTTATCGCGACGAGTGACGAGGCGACGCGCGCCGTTGATAGTTGATAGGCGGCAAGGAAAGCACACATATTCACATATACAGAGCGAGCGAGAGAGAGAGAGAGACAGACAGAGAGAAAGAAAGAAAGAGACTATGCGGAATATTTGTCGCTTACTTTCAAAGGCCTGCAGAAATAGCTCGTGATCGGCCTGAATCTGATCCATACGTGGTCCCTTCTGTCCTTCGAGATCCTTCTCCCGCTTCTTCGGCGGCATCTTCGCGCGGTCCTCCGTGCACGAGCAAGGCTCCCCCACGGAAACACTCCACCTCTCGGTCGCGCGAAACCTGCGACAACCGAACCGACAACGACAACACCCGCCCCGCGCGAAAGCTCTAGCCCCCAAACCCCTACCAAGACGATTGACGCGTCCTCTCACGACGCGCCATTTAAACGAGCGCGCATCTCCGCGAACTAAGCCGCTCTAAGATGGGCAATCTAGTAAATTATTAGGAATACACCACAGGATTCACAAATCTTAGTAATTTACTAGATCACTAGTGGCGTCCGCCATTGGGCATGTCGCCAATTGGCTAATTTAAAATAGGAATCTCCTATTGGTTAATCGTGGCTGTTTATCTTAAGCATTGGTCGTATATTTAAAAGTTGGAGAGAAAGAGAAACAAACAGTGGGCACGTTCGGCAGAGAAAGCGCTCAGTAATTGTCTTGTCAACACTCGACGTTGATTTGTTGGTTCTAAAAGTAAGAGCCAATCACGCTCGATTGTTACTGAGCGGTTTTCTCTGCTGAACGCGCCCAGTGCTAAACTCGCAACAAATCGAAAATAGACTACTTTCTTCTTTTTTCTATGTAAAGTCGAACCAAGATGGTAGCGATAATCGCGTAAACGCCGAGAAAAACATTCTTTCCTAGTATGCTTCAAAAAGGCTAAATTATATACGCCTCGCATATATCTTCTATTTTGAATTTTAAGGATCTCAGGGGACAAGAAACATTCCTAAAATCTCGGGAGGTCGTATCGTGAGTCAAAATGACCGAGGAAACGCAACAGCAGGTCGAGAGTACTGCGCGAAATGACAACTGTTCCACACAGCAGAATGAAACGCAGCTGAATACGTCAGATGTTGGAAAAGTCAAAGATAACAAAAAAGAAAAATGTCGTCCTATGACAAAGGTTCGTCTTGATAGAATTTTCGCAATAGATACAGATTTCTGTCTCCTCGATAAACGTTCTTCATCGATTTAAATATTATTTCTTGATAGATACGTAAACGTAGAATAGGTTATGTTAATCGATATAAGACAACACATCCGGCTGGATCTTTTTTAAATGACTGTGAAATATGAACAAATGTGTATGTTTTACGTTAAAAATACATCTTACAAAATGTAAAATAATGTTATAATTGATCGGTTTTAGGTGGTTATCAGAAGATTGCCTCCGACAATGACTCAGGATCAATTCTTGGAGCAAGTGTCCCCGCTGCCAGAACACGATCATTTATACTTTGTGAAGGCCGACATGTCGCTCGGCCAGTTCGCGTTTTCTCGCGCTTACATTAATTTTATAGAGCAACAAGATATTTTTGTGTTTCGAGAAAAGTTCGACAATTATGTGTTTATAGATTCCAAGGGGGTGGAATATCCTGCAGTAGTAGAGTTCGCGCCTTTTCAGAGATTACCAAAGAAACGAGCCGGCAAGAAGAAGGATCTCAAATGCGGCACCATCGAGAGCGATTTGTATTTTATAAGTTTCTTAGAGAGTTTAAAGAATCAGGAGGTTGATCCGAGTGTAGCTCAATCAAAAACTGAATATTCTTATCAACCACCGGACAGTGAGTATTTTTAATTCATGTATTTCTTGTTAAAGTAAGGAGACATTATATGGATATTGAAAATATTTTAAAATGATGATTGTATATTGCGTAGACACGGTAAAGAAGATCACGACCACTCCGCTACTCGAGTATCTGAAGCTTCGTAAACAGGAGAAGCAACGTCTTAGGGATGAAAAACGTGAGGAAAGGCGGAGGAGAGATATGGAAAAGCGCAGAACAAGAGACGATCCTGTTATTTCTAAGGTAGAAAAATTATTGGGATATATTGGAATACAACAAATACAGTATGGAATATAATATGGAATAATAATTATTTTGCTTGTAATAATTACTTATTAAACTTGGAAACAGTTTGTACTTAATTCTTTACTGTATTTGCTGATACCAAATATTTTCGTCTACAGCACATATGTAATATGGAAAACGATCAGTCATCCAATTTTACCACATCTCATCGCACAAATATTAAATTTGAAGATACGTTTTTTCAATGCTTTGTCAAAAACTCAAGCATATATAAATACAGAGAGGATATCTTCCTCGATAGACTTATACACAAACAAGTGCAAGATAAATTATATAAGAATCATCAAAGATTTTATGACCATGTTAAAAAGACGAAAACAAATAGAAGTATGTTTGATGTCAAGAAACTACATTTAAATGGCAATAATCAAATTAACTGGCAAACCTACTTTTATTTCCACAAAGACGACCATGTAAGGAAAAATACCTTATTAAGAAAAAAAAATATAATTTTTTCTATTTAAATTATTTTTAATATTCGAATATATATAATATATGAAATATATGATTTTTCATGACGCTAGTAGCCGCGAATTTCTTCCTGACTTTCATGTGCGAAAAAGTTGTGGTATGAAAGAATCATGTGCCTCTGTCCAAAGTGGCATGTAAAAGAATGGGAATCAGGAATTTAATTTTGCGAATCACTTCTACTGTTGCGCCATGAGATATACCGAAAAATCGATGTTGATGTTTGACCAGCGTTGATAGTTCTCTTGAGAAAGGGACGCTTGTTATATTTATCGCAATTACATTTTTGTATCTATGATTTTCTTAAAACTTTATGTAATTTCATATATATATATATATACATTGTAATATCGTAATTGTTTTAATTGGTCTGTATCAAATTTTTTAGAAGAATATGTTTTTAAGAGAAGCTAATTATATATTTATATTTGATAATCGTGTTCTCTCTGTATTTTGTTGTATAATGAACTCGCAACTACATTAGTATGATGAAGAAATATACAAAAAAAGATACGACTGTAAGACAATAAATAATAAATAATAGGAAGTGCATAATGTATTATTTTTTACAGGTTTTACGAAATCCGGATTTAGATAAAGAGTCCAGTAAGGACGACAAAGAAAATAAAGAGGAGAGAGACAAACTTTCACCAAAGGAATTGAAGAATAGGCACAAAAGAGATGAAAAAATAAGAGAGAAATTATCGCGAGATAGGGAGATTAAACCCATCATTAAAGGATATAGAGAGCGAATTGACGATAGAAACAAAGAGATGAAGCATAGACGATACGATGAGAAGAGGCCTTATGGAAGACGTGACGATCGGGAGAGTGTGAGAGAGGAGAGAAGGCTTGATCTCAAGGATGACAGGAGATACGAGGCGAAGGAAGAGTTTAGGGAATCCAGAGACAGGAAGGTGGAGGAAAGACGCGGAAAAAGTTATGAGAAAATGAGACAAGAGAAAAAGAAGTTGGCAGAAACGAAGAAACAGATTGTTGATATCAATGGGGACAATGCGAACTCAAAAAAGATAAAGGAAGAATACGAAGTCGTACGAGAGAAGGAAGACGGAAATAGCAAAGAGTCTGTACACAAGGAGGATGAATTCAAACATGCTGAAGACAATGAATGTGCGCAACATGATACTACCGAGGATCGAGTAACAGTGGACGCGATGCGAAATTGTAGGGATGAAACTGCAGAAGAGGGAAATGGTTCATCCAATCCAGGTGAGAGATATTTAATCACATATTTAGAAGAGTATTTATATTTTCTTCTCTCTCTCTCTCTCTCTCTCTCTCTCTCTCTCCCCCCCCCTCTCTCTCTTCCTTCTCTTCTCTCCTTTCACCTTTCTCTTTCTCTCTATCCTTTTCGATTCTGATATAAGAATAGTTTAATAGAAGTTTCTCACGCACTTTTAACAAAAAAATGAGAGCAGAATATTTATTTTATGAAGCAAGTAATTCATATCTGATTAGGAATATAACACGATCGTTGCTTCGATTTCGAGAAGTTAGGGAAGGTATTTGCGTAAACATTTTGGCGATAATAACGAATAGATTAATGCAGATGCGAACGACGAGGATGAATCTGAGGAGAAAGAATCGAAAGTCATGAAGAGGCGTAATTCGCTTGAAAGTGGCGGCGAAGGTGGCGCGGGCGATGGTAGCTGTCTGCGACGTCACAAATCGTTGGACGGAGATGGTGAAAGTAATTTGCAGAAGAACGAGGAGAAAGAAAAGGATAAAAAAGATCCACGATTGGAGCGCAGAATACGAAATAAAGTAAGAGGCTATATATTCACAAGAAGCATTGCACGAAGTTACTGTTCAATTGCTTGTTTCTTATCAACGAATTATCATCATTAAACATACAAACGTTTCTTGTCCAGTTTGTGTATACTCAATTATTTTCTCAACAATTTCGTTAAATATTTGTTCATATCTTTTCTGTGATTATGAATCATCTATAAATCTTGTATATATCTGTGTATATTTAGTTTATTTAGTTTATTAAGTACAAATATCTAAAAACTCTTGATTGTTACAGGATCGTCCAGCAATGGAGATCTACAGACCCGGCATGGGCAAGTTCAGTAAGCAGCGGTTAGAACGTGAAAAATCAAACAACGATGAACGAGCATCTCTTTCGCAAAGTCCGACGCCGAATCCTGGTACTTCTTCCTCTACAACTGGCAAATCCGGAAAATCCGGAGCGACGGAAGTACGCTCGATGACGTTCAAACGCAGCGTCACTCGTGATGCAGTGTAACTTCTTCGCGTGCTTTTGCCGCTCGCAACGCATCGTTCTACCGCGAATATGATATTTTGATTTCTCGATCGATCTTACAATAGATTTAATCACCATATAATACATAATTGTTCTCATTGTACTGTATAAAACATGTCATATCATGTACTAAAGTGATGATTATATACACGCATTCAAGATATTTAAATGTTTCACGCACAGTTTAATTGTTCATGTACGTTCCGCATTTTTTTTTTTTTTTTCTTCTAGACATTTTATTATGTGTAATATTATTGACGAATTAATAAATACAACGTATACTTTACATTTACAACTTTGTAACTTAGAACAATTATAAGACTATGATTTTTTTTAAATACAGCCTATTTTTCGACAGTGTAAATATATATATATATATATATATGTTAATATAAAATGGAACAACGTATTACTAAGCGCGAACCTAGTGCAATAACATTTATAGAATAAACTTTAATAAAGAATGATTCTACGTGATTCCGTGACTGAATAGTAATTGCTAGTAGTCGGCAGATTTTGAGTTTGAACTCGATTCATACCTCTGGCCGGTATTCATAGTCCGTTCTTATATTCAAGATCGTCTTAAGTACGATCTTAAGATGCTAAGCGGCCATTTCATCGGTTGAATGAGATCTTAAAGCCCGTATCAGACTACGCATTAAAGATTGAGATTAAGGATTGAAGATTGAAATTTGACCAATCAGGACAAAGAAATTTTAGTCCCTTTTGTTCTGATTAGTCAAATTTCAATCTTT